TAGATCACAGGATATGAGCTGCTTCCTGCAGACAAGAGGTAGCTAGGTCCGGAGGAGGGTAAAGAAATACTTCCTTCCTGAGCTAAGCATTAGGTTGACAATAGAGAAAAATTCAGCTTTATTTACAAGGGAATTCTCTTTATTATTTGCTTCCGCTGATTCTGAATAAATACACAGAGAGGTGTGGCTTGGGGGTGCTTCAGTTGATTCAAACTGCTGGCCCCTTGTCTTTTACTCTCTCTGCTTACTTACACATTCTTGGTGTTTTGTCTCATTATTAATTATTAATATACTTTACCCTCGGTCTGCAACAGGAAAGCATTATGCTAAGTGAACTCTGTCCCATAAGGACAAATACTGTATAAGAGCATTATTATAGAAATACAAAGATAACTAGTAAAAGAGGTATGAGGATCCAAGGAGGGGAGGTTAGGAGCCGGGGGGTTAGGATGGGCAGGGGGTGTATGATAGGGACACACAATTTGAAAGGCGAAGGGAAAGGAAAATGAATAAAGGAAATGACAAAGATCCAGTTCATATAAAATGTATATAAACTTTGCAAGCAAACTAGAATAAATTTAAAGAAAAACAATTTTCAGACAAACTGAACTACTGAACTACTTTATACTTGGGAGTAACTTATACGGTAACCTACAGGAAAATAAAAATACAAACTAACAAAGATAAAAAATAATAAAAACTGAGTGCTCATCAAACAACAACAATAAGAGAGATGATATGAAAAGCCATAAATAAAATGAACTCAGCACAGGGAAGCAGACAGGACAAAGGAAATCAGCAACACCACAAAAAACAAGGGAGCAAAAACTACTTAGCTTTAGCCAGAACAGTAAGATAAGGAAAGGAAAGTCATTCAGACTGGCAAAGAGAAAGTAAAACAATCTCTATTTGCAGATCATAGGACTCCCTACACAGAAAATCTTTAAGATTAAAAAGAAAAAAAAAATGGATCTAATTGATCAATTTAGCAAAATGGCAGGATACAAGATCAACATACCAAAAAAAAAAAATCAGTTGGACTGCTCTCCAATAACAAAGAGAACTCCTAAAGGAAATGAAAGAAAAGCAATGCCATTTGTAATAGCCATTCAAAAAATGAAGCACTTAGGAATCTAACAAGATATACAAAAGACACATGCAAAGAAAACTATGAAACGCTACTCTAAGAAACCCAGAGACCAACACGGGTCCAAAAACATGCTCTGGATTGTAATTATGACATTATGAAAATGTCGATACTACCAAAAGCAATCTACAAATACAGTGCAATTTCAATCCAGAGCTCATCACTATTTTTTCAAGGAGATGGAAAAATTAATCATTGATTTCATATGAACTAGAAAGAGACCTCAGACAAGCAAAGGGATACTGAAGAAGAAAAACTAAATAGGAGGCCTTACACTTCCTGATTTCCTCTCAGCCACAGGAATCAGACAGTTTGACACTACAAAGACAGGTACATAGACCAATGGAACAGAATTAAGAACCAAGAAATAAATGCAGATACCTATGGACATCTGATTGTTGACAAAGAGATGAAATCCATTAAGTGGAGAAAAGAAAAATCTTCCAGAAAATTGAAGACCTGTATCTCACACCATATGCAAAAACTAACCCAAGATGAAGCAAAGATCTAGGTATAAATCTAGAACTATAAAGATCACCAAAGAAAAAAATTACGGGAAACTAGAAAGCACTGATCTATGTTATTGTTATGTGTCATCAAGTTGCTTGCGACTTACAGCAACCCTATGCACAACCCTGAACCCTGCTCTATCCTGTGCCAATCTTATTGTCTCTGACATACCCACTCCATTACTCCAGTCATCGAGTCAATCCATTTCATCGAGGGTCTTCCTTCCTTGTGTTGTGTCCCCACCCTCCCAAGCATGATGTCCCTCTCTAAGGACTGGTCCCTCCTTGCAACAGACCCAAAGTATGTCTGACAAAGCTTCAGAATCTTTGCCTCCAAGGAGCAGGCTGGTTTCACCCTCTTTAGGACGAACCTGTTCATTCTCCTCGCAGTCCAGGGTATATTCAATACCATTCTCTAGCATCACAACTCAAAGATATCAACTCTCCTTTTAACATCCCTAGTTACAGTTCAGATTTCTGACACATAGCAAGTAATTGCACCTTCGTCTCCAGATTGACATTGTTGCTCTTCAGTACTCTGGAGAGGTCCCTGACAGCAGACTTTCCTCTTTTATTTCCTGACTGCTGGTATCAAGAGTGTTGATTGTGGAGCCAAGCAAACTGAAGCTGTTAACACTTTCAACCTCTTCACTGACTATCATAATGCTGCCAATTGGCTCAGTGGTGAGAATCTAGGCTTAAATAGATTATCAAATATAACTGAAAATACACCAAAAGTACAGGATAAATTAGACAACTGGTTGTCTGTTGTTATTAAGCGTCACTGAGTGTGACTCTTGGTGATCCCGTGAACCACAGATCTGAACCCTGTCATATCCTGAGCCATCCTCACAATCTTGAACATACTCGAGCCACTGCTGCAGTCATTGTGTCAATCCACCTAGCTGAGGGTCTTCCTCTTTTTCATCAACTGCTACCTTCTCCAAAGAATGATGTCCCTCTCCAAGGAAGAGTCTCTCCAACAACACGCCCAAAGTGTTTAAGACAAATAAAGCTTTATCTTCTTTGCCTCCAAGGAGCACTCCAGCTGCATCTTCCCATGGCATACCAAGCTGTTATTTCAGCAGTCCATAGGATATTCAGTATTCTCTTCCAACACTACAGCTCAAGGGCTTCAATTCTTCTCTCAGATGCATAGCAAGTAACTGAAAAGACCATGACCTAAATCAGGAGCATCTTAGTCCTCAAACTGATAACATTGCTCCCCACTAATCTGAGCAGGTTTCTGACTGAAGACTTTCCCGGTGAAATATGTCTCCTGTTCTACTGACTGCTGGTATCAAATGTATTGATTGTACATTTAAGTAAGATGAAGTCAGATAGTCAACTAGTACATGCAGTAATGCTCAAGATGTTTTGAGATTAGAAAAATGAAAATTAAAACAACAATAAGATATCATTTTGGCCCAGCAATAAAAGTAAAATTCAACAAGAGAGCAAACAAATATTGGCAAAAGTATGGGGAAATCAAAATTCTCATACACAGCTGGAGGGGATGTACAATATAACTCCCTAGTTAAGGTTAACAGGAATGAGAAGGGAACATAAAGAGAGGAAAATCTGACAACATAAAGAGAGGAAAATCTGACAGATGAGTTGTGTGAAAAGAAATGTAATACACAATAAAGGGTTTACTAGATATCATAATTAATTACATTAATCAATCATAATTAATCTTATAGGGAGCTCTGTGGCCTACTGGCTAAGGAGTTGTTCTCCAAGTCCTAGTCCAAAGGCAGGCAGTTCGAATTCAACAGCTACTCTGCAAGAGAAAAATGAACGACCTCCCCCACACTCCAGCCCTGTAATTCATGACCTCTGAAAACCAGCTGGAGGGTCAGCTATGAGTTGGCTCTGACTTGATGGCAATGAGTGTAAGTGATTTGATGTTATAAACCAATAAGGTCTATGAATGATTGTGTGGAAAGCCAATATGATTTGTAAACCTTTACAAAAATCAAACTAAAATTTTTTAAAAAAGCCCACTGGTCTGAAAATTATGTTTCCAGTTGTCACACAACACATTAGGTTTAAAGAAAGGAACAATATTGATAAAACAACAGTCAACACTTTTTTAAATGTCTTCAATAAAATAGTAAAAAGCACATATTATTTACTATTCCACCAGATATTAAATTTAGTCTTGGATGTAACAAAAACCTCTTCTGAAAGGAAAAGGTATAAAGTTTCTAGGCCTTTGGGTCAATGATACATGTTATGTGTTCATAAACTCAACTTCTTAAAGTTGTTGATTTAGAAATAATGAAATTCTGCGATTAATTCATTAAGCTATGTTCATTTGATAGGCAAATTCCTACGACCTGGCCTAATTACTGGATTAAAACTCATTATCTTAGTATTAAATTAAACTAGTATTTAATTCTAGTTTTTCCCAACCTAATTCTCTTTTTATAAACAAAGTGAGTCTAAAATGTAAAACTATAAAATTGGTAACTAAAAAAGAATTTAATTTCAATTAAATATGCTGATTTTCACTACAGATAAGGCATTGATGTCACTTCAGATGAGGGTCTCCCCACTTACCACTGACACTTTATCTGTAAGCAATGAAGTTCCAGATTACAAGTGGTTTTAAATATAACTACTCATAGGAAAGGAATCACTATGGTTGCATTATTTAAGCTCCAAAATGTTCAGTGAGGTCATAAAGGGCAGCAGGTCATGCCCTACACACTCCCCCTACTGGCAGAAGTTTTCAGATAGAATGGGAGCAATCTAAAAGCTGTTCAGAGTTGCACGTCTACAGCTTTAGCAAATACCTAGGAGACATTTCATCTTATTACCATGACAGACCATTACACACAACAAAAGAATATGAGAAGAAAAGGATAATCTCCTTCAACTGTAGTTTGGAATCTTCATTTCAAAACCTTTTAATAGAAAAAAAAAATTCTTTGTACACTACAGCAGTATTTAAAAATTACCTTGGACCACCAAGAAAACAAATAAGTATGCTTTGGAGAGGGTGAAACCAAGTTTCTCCTTGGAGGCTAGGATTTTGAAGCTCCATCTCACATATTTTGGGGCACATGGCCAGGAGGGACCAATCCTTGGAGAAGGACATCATACTTGGAAAGGTGGAGAGACAGCAAAGGAGTGGAAGATCTTGGATGAGATGGATTGATACAGTAACTGGGGCAATGGAGTAGGTTTGTCAGAGTCAGTGAGATTGGCTCAGGACAGGCAGGCTTCAGAGCTATTGTACATAGGGTCACTATGAGTTGCAGGCAACTCGATGACACATAACAACAACATAAGTGGCAGAATTAGCTATAAAGATCAGGTTACATTTTCCTACTTACCTCTAAAGACTCCTTCAAGTCCACAGCAGAAATGGTATCTTCCTCTTCATCATCAATTAACTGGTCTTGGGAACAATAGTGTGTGGTATAAGCAGAGTGTTCTTCTATCACGTCTATCCAATCCTGAAACAATCCAAGAATTTTTTTTACTAAAAAATGTATAATAGGATCACGATCTGGAAAGTACAAAATTTACATGGTTAAATAAAGAATATGGCTTCAAGAAAATAATAATAAAGCAACTAGTAATGAAATAATTATTTAGGTATTTAAGTCTCCTGTTTACAACAGATGTCTATATAAAAAAAATTCTAACATTTAAAAAAAATCTATAAGTATACAGTCATTAGTACTCATACATAATACGGAACTTAAATAAATACAAAGATAGGAATTTTTTTCACTTTAATATACAGTTTCAATACTCTTGAATGTTAGTATGCAATATTGGACCAGATACCATTTTATCAACTTAGAATAATCATATTATAAGCCTGAGTAACTAAAATCTTTTATAACATGATCAACATTTGCTTGATGGCTTAACTTTTACTTATTTTTTAAAAATATTCTAAAATCTATGACTTCCCGAAAGGGGTAGACTAATCATGTAGGCAACTTCCAACACTAATAACTGTCCCTTAATATCACAGAATCAAAATTTTAAAGTTATAAACAGAAAATAGGTACAGTAACATAAATTCATCAGCCACGTTTCAAAAGTTTAACACGATGCCGCAAATGACGGTAATAAATGGGGGGTTGGGGGAGAATGTGTTTCTAAGCACGGTTGTCAATTTAAAAGTGTGCGGCAATGTGTTAATATACTTTCCCCATTAAAAAAGTATAATGATGAACAAGACTTTAGATATTAACATTAAATCTACCTTATATTCCACACAGTTTTATATGTTCTTTAGAATTTATGGAAAAATAAGTGAATCTATAAAATTACCTCTCTTGATTGTTGAAGACTATTCTTAGGAACCCTAAAGCCATGAATGGTGTCATCAAAGCACTTAATGAAGAAGAGGCTGCTATCCGTGGGTTTTACCTTTGACACAGAAAAATAAGTCAGAGACTGGCACCCATTCACATACAAAAGAACCCCAAAAGGACTGACATGTATTAACATGACGACACACAAGTAAGCAAATATTGACTGAGAAGAGTTCATTTACTATTGGAGTATCAAATGTAGAATAGCTTATCTATGTCAAATTTTATTTTCTCATCCTTAATTACACAAAGTAAATACTAACAGTCCATTGGTTATGCAGTCTCAGTTTCCTCCTTTAATTCTGTGTATACTTGGGTTGTAAAAGCCTTTAAAAACTACAGCTATAATTTCTTATTCATACCATTCCCTTGAACATTTCTCCTTGAGCCGAGTATGAGTAATATGAATGAGTAGTAAGTAAGATTGATAAATATGGGGGGGGAAAGAGGAAGGAGAGTAAGATTTATAAGTAGTTGTATTTTTAAGAGGAGCTCTGGTGGCCTAGGGGCAAGAAGTTATGCTGCAATTCTGAAGGCATGTGGTTTGAATCCACCAGATGCTCTGCTGGAGATGGAGGGGCAATCTCCTCTTGTGCTAGTCCGATCTGAGGGAGAGAGAGAGGGAGGGAGGGAGGCAGAGAGAGAGAGAGAGAGAAAGAGAGAGAGAGAGAGAGAAAGAAAGAGACGAAAAAAGAAAGAAAGAAAGAAAGAAAGAAAGAAAGAAAGAAAGAAAGAAAGAAAGAAAGAAAGAAAGAAAGAAAGAGTTGTATTTTTGAAATAACATTTGGCAAGAAAAAAAGATTTGAGAATGTGAAAAGGTAGAATTCTGCTTTAACATCTTATCAGAGGACTCCTTTACAGGAAACAATGATGAAACCTGAACACAAAGCAAAAGGTAACCACCAAGAAAAACTAGAGTGAAGAGAAGATAAAAAGAGTCTTACAAGAGTTATACTCTCCTCTAGAAAAGGAAGTGAGCAGCAATACAAGTACGTTCCCTTCAGCAAGACTTTTACCTTGATTGAGTACAGTCCATCGGACACATACAGTATCAACTTAGGCTCAAGTGTAAACACTCACAGTAATTTTGTCTTTGGGAATTAGAAAACGGAATCCAGAAAGCAATGTACACGCGAGAGAGTTAAAAGAATCCCACAAGGAATAGAGCCAAACAGGAGACCCAAATTCTGCCTAGTCAAGTTCCTAACTGACCCATGAATCACACATAAACAGAAAAGACCTAAAGTGGCTAATAAAAACACAACCTACCTGAACTAGCACCCCAGCTGCCACTCAAGGAAAAGTTTGCAATGCAAATTCAAGCTAGAAAATAATTTGCTACAACAATGTCAATAACATCAATCAAAGAATCTAGAATCTTTAAAATTTAACATGCATAATAATTAAGGATATAATCCAAAATTACCTAGCATACCAAGGAGCAATATGTAGAACACATTCTTAAAAGGAAAAAAAAAATAATTTTAGGTAAAAATTAAAAGGATGTATAAAAGATTATGAATTATATGCTCTCCATAAGAGACAGATTAAGGAATATAGAGACAACATACATTGAAAGAAAATTAATAGAAAAAAAGAGATTCATGCAAACAATATAACAAAAGGCTGTTGTTGCTTGTACCATAAAGTCACATAAGTACCATAAAGACCCTGCGGCGGGTTTTCAGAAGCAGTTACTTGCACAGGTGGAGACGGCCCTTATTACTCTGAAAGAGCCGCTGACTACCTCGAACCACGTACCTTCAGGACTGCAGTGTAGTTTCTAGGCACTGGGCCACCAGATCTCAAACAAAACGGCTAGAGCAATTATATTAATGTTATATATTTCAATACAATATCTATTGTAAAAAAGGAAGGCAGTCACATCAGTTGGCTAATCAGAAAGACAACAATCTTAAATATGCATGTGATCAAAAAACAGGGTAAGAAAGAAATCATTTCACCAGTACATGAAATGGTGGAAGAAAGAGTCATTGAAAATGAATCATGCTGAAGAAGAGAAAGACAGATAATGAAAAATGAACAGCCTCAGAGACCTATGACACATTATAACGTGCATCAAACAACAATCAGAGTTTCAGAAAGGAGAACAAAGAGTGAGTTTAAAGAAATGATTGAAAATCTAATGGTCAAAATGTTCCAAATTTGAAAACTGCCTTAGAAATTCAGTAAATTCCAAGTAAGAGGAGTTCAGGGAAACCCACACATCACATGAACACTGCTAAAAGATAAAGACAAAAAGAAAATCTTGAACGTATCAAAAGAGAATGACCCACAAGGCAAAGGGGAAGCACAGTAAAATTAACCCACTGACTTTATATCCAAAACCATGGAAACCAGTGGCAGGGGAAGGATCCATCCAAACCACTGAAAGAGAATTTCTGTCGCTAGCAAAACCACTGTTTTAAAATAGAAAGGGGGAGGGGAACCCGTTTTCTAACAAAAACTTAAGAGAATTTGTTGCTAGTAGGCACAGCTTGTAAGAAATAAAGGGAATTTAAGTAGAAAGAAATGCAGTAAACACAAAATGAAGGGACCTAGTAAATTTAATAACATGTTAGTGCTCTTAGGTACTTGGATTCACAATCAACACTAAGAGTAGAAGCAGTTAAGAAATCAAAAGACGTGTTACATGAGGAAATCTGCTGCTGACCTCTCCAAAGTGCTAAGGAGCAAGGATGCCAGTTTAAAGACTAAGAAAGACGTGATGTAAACCATGGTATTTTCAATTGCTTCTTACACATCTGAAAAATGGACAAAAATAAGGAAGACTGAAGAAGAAATGGTGTCAATGAACTGTGGTGCTGGAGAAGAGTACTGAAGATACTGTTGTTGCTGTTATGTGCCATCGAGTCGCTTGGGACGCATAGCGACCCTAAACTCCGCTCTGTCCTGTGCCAATCACACTGTCTCCAACACTCCTATCCCAATTATCCCAGTCACTGAATCAATCCACCTCATAGAGGTCCTTCCTCTCCTGCGCTGTCCCTCCACCCTCCCAAGCATGATGTCCCTCTCTAAGGACCGTCCCTCCTCACAACATGTCCAAAGTATGTTAGACGGAGCCTCAGAATCCTTGCCTCCAAGGAGCCACCCGGTTTAACCCTCTCCAGGACAAATCTGTTTGTTTTCCTAGCAGTCCATGGTATTCTCAATACTCTTCTCCAGCACCACAGCTCAAAGGCATCAATTCTCCTTCTATCCTCCTTGGTCATTGTCCAACTCTCTGATGCATAACAAGTGATTGCGAAGACCACAGCCTGTATCAGACGCACCTTAGTCTCCAGGGAGATACCATTGCTCTTCAGTACTTTGGAGAGGTCCCTAACAGCAGACTTTCCCATGGCAATGCGCCTTTTAATTTCCTGGCTGCTGGTGCCAAGACTGTTGACTATGGAGCCAAGCAAACTAAAGTTGTGAACAATCTCAATCTCTTCACCATCCATCCTGATGCTGCCAATTGGTCCAGTGGTGAGAATCTTTGTCTTCTTGACATTGAGCCTCAATCCATATTGTAGGATGCAGTCCTTGACACTCTGCAGCAGGCGCTTCAGGTCCTCTTCAGTTTCAGCAAGCAGGGTTGTGTCATCTGCATAACACAGATTGTTGATAAATCGTCCACCAATCTTGACCCCACATTTCTCCTCATAGAGCCCAGTCTCCCGGATAATCTGTTCTGCATATAGGTTGAAAAGGTATGGAGGTAGGATGCATCCCTGGCGTACACCCTTCCCAATTTTGAACCATGCAGTGCCTCCCTGCTCTGTTCTGGCAACTGCCTCCTGGTCCAAGTATAAGTTTCGCATTAGAACGATCAAGTGTTCTGGGATTGCCATTCTTCTCAGAGTCAGCCATAGTTTGTTATGATCTACACAGTCAAATGCCTTTACATAGTCAATGAAACACAGATAGACATTCCTCTGGTATTCCCTGCTTTCAGCCAAGATCCATCTAACATCAGCTACAATATCTCTAGTACCACGACCCCTTCTAAACCCAGCCTGGACTTCTGGTAGGTAGGCTGCTAAAAGACCAAAGCTAGTTAACTTCAAGGAAGTGCAACCAGAGTGCACCTTAGAGACAAGGATGGTGAAATTTCACCTCATATACTTTGGTCATGTTATCAAGAGGGGCCAATCATTGGGAAAAGGACATCATGCTGGGGAAGACAGATGGCTAATGAAAGAGAGGAAGACCGTCAAAAAGACAGACTGACACAGTGATTACATGCATCTTAAGCATCACGCAGGGTCATAAAAATGGTGCAAAATAGGACACTGTTCAGATCTGTTGTTCATCGGGTCACTATGTGTCAAAGTGGACTCAATGTACCTAACAAGAACATATAACACAATAATGATAAAATTATGCAGGTGAGCTTATATATGAAGATATCATGTATATTGAAACATAAATATATAAATATACCCACTCACACATGCACATATTATAGCATAAAGGAATGTGGAAAAGAACAGATACATACCGAAGCAAAAGAATGTCTCTAGATGGTAAAATGAATCCCCTGGAAATGCTACACGCACGGTTAATAAAATAAAAATAAATGCAAATTCTGCCAAGTCAGAACTGACTCACAGCTGACCCTCCAATAGGTTTGAGGCGGCTGGAAATCACACAGGAAGAGTTGTAAATTTTTCTTCTGCAGAGTTGTTGGTGGATTTGAACCACCAGACAGGCACCACCTTTGGGCTAATACAGCAACTCTGTATGGACTATGTTGCCAGAGCTCACTTAATATAGAAGATTCTGCAAATATATTTTCTCTCCATTCTTTCCTAGTGAAAGACTGATGATTAATATGTGTCCTCACATAAGCCCCAAATTCAATGTTCACAGTGGCATTATTCAAAATGACGTAAAAGTGGAAATAACCCAAATGTCCCTCAACTGATGAATGAATAAACAAAATATTGTACATCAAAACAATAGAGTATTATTTGACCATAGAAAGGAATGGAGCAATGATACATGCACAAGACAGATAAACCTTAGAAACTTTTTATTAAGGGAAAGAAGCCAGATATAAGAGTCAGATATAGTATAATTACATTATATGAAATGTGCGGAGCAGGGAAATATGCAGAGAATAAATGAGTGGTTGCCTAAGAAGGGGTAAAGAGGGCTGATGGGAAATGAGACATCTTAGAGGTTTCTTTTTAGAGTGATGAAAATTGTGGTGATGGCTATCCTATCCTGTCTGTATTAAAGAACAGTGAATTGTATCCATGAATCATGTCTTAACAGGTGTTAAAATAATTATGTGTAACACTGTATACAGCAGTAAATAGAGTATTGTTGGGCTTTTTAAACATATACAGTTATATATGGTGGTAGTTCCACAAAAGAAGAGATAGAAAATGGGGCTTCTGTATTTTATAAGTTTATATATTTTATAGAATTAAAATGGCAATAATCATAATTAGATTATAATAAATTAAGATATATAACAAGGTATAGAGGAACTAAGAAGAAAATAAAAAATATAGTAACTAACATCATAAACAGTAGTTATTAAAAAATCAAAGAAAAGGAAAAACAGAAAACAAAAATTGACAGAAACAGACAACATAAAAATAACAGACGGAAACCCAACATCAATAACAACACAAGTACAAAAAATAAAAAAATAAATTATTACAAAAGTAAGATTTTAAAATAAATACAAAAATACTAAATACATTAAACAACCCAATCACAAGACAAAGACAGTCAGACTGAATAAAAACGCAAAACACAAATACAGGCTGTCTAGAATGGACATACTTTAGGTTCAAAAGATACAACAACAGGCAGAAAAGAATCCAGAAAAAAATGTACAATGTATACCCATAAGAGAACCGGGATGATATTAAGTTACACTAAAAAGTTATTTGGGACAAAGAGATATTTTATAATGACTGAAAAGTGGATCCATCCTTAAGAAAGATAAAACAATTATAAACAATATCTACCAGAAAAGACTCATCAACAATCTGCATTAGGCAGATGACACAACCCTGTTTGCTGAAACTGAGGAGGACCTGAAGAGCTTGCAAGGATTGCAGCCTTCAATATAGAAGCTCAACATCAAGAAAACAAAGATTCTCACCACTGGGCCGACTGGCAGCATCAAGACAAATGGTGAAGAGACTGAGATTGTTAACAGTTTCAGTTTGCTTGGCTCTACAACCAACATTTCCTGGTACCAGCAGCCAAGAAATTAAAAGACGAATTGCACTGGGAAAGTCAGCTGTTAGAAACCTCTCCAAAGTACTGAAGAGCAATTGATGTCAGTACAGAGAATAAAATGTGCCTGATCCAGGTCATGGTCTTTGCAATTACTTTCTATGCATAGGAAAGCTGAACTGAACAATGACTAAGGATGATAGGAGAATTAAAGCTTTGAGCTACAGTGCTAGAGAAGAGTACTGACCATGGACTGCTAGGAGAACAAACAAGTTCATCCTGGAGAGAGTGAAGCCAGGCTGCTCCTTGGAGACAAGGATTGTGAAGATTCGTCTGACACATTTTGGACATGTTGCAAGGAGGGACCAGTCCTTGGAGAGGGATGTCGTGCTTGGGAGGTTTGAGGGACAGTGCAGGAGAGGAAGACCCTCGATGAGATGGATTGATTCAGTGACTGGGGAAATGGGGATTGGTGTATCAGAGACAGTAAGATTGGCACAGGATAGAGCAGGGTTTAGGGCTGTTGTACGTAGGGTCACTATGAGTCACAGGTGACTCGACAGCACATAACAACAACAACCAGGAAAGAGAACACCAAAATGCAAGCAGCAAAAACGGACCGAACTGCTCAGAGACACAGAACAACCAGAGATAAAACAAACAAACCTATCTACAAAATACTCAACCACAAGGTACATGCTTTCCTGGAGCACACATGGAACCTTCTCTAGTATGGACCAAAAGGTCAACTAAACAAACATGAGTAAATCCAAAAGGACTTAAATACAAAGTATGTTCTCAAGTAAAATGGAATGAAATTAGAAAGGAAATGTGGTAAATGAACAAATATCTAGAAATGAAACAACCTGTCTCTAAATGTACTGATCAAAGAGGAACTCAAAGGGAAATTAGAAAATACATTTCACTAAAAGAAAATGAGAAGTACAACATAGGAAAGTGTGCAGTCAGCTACTTCTCCATATTATTGAGAAGCAATGATGTTAATTTGAGGACTAAGGTACACCGGATTCAGGCCATGCTCTTATCAATCACTTGCTATCCATCTGAGAGCTGTACAATGAATAAATATGACAGAAGAATTGATGCCTTTGGACTGTGGTATTGGAGAAGAACACTGAACATCCCATGGACTTCCAAAAGAACAAACAGCTATGTCTTAGAGAAGGTGCAGCCAGAGTGCTCCCTGGAGGCAAAGAAAATTTATCTCACATATTTCAGGCAACTTTCTAGGAGAGGCTATTTGTCTGAGAAGGACATCAAGCTTGGGAAGGAGAGGGGTTGGCAAAAGTGGGAAAGACTCTCAACCAGGTAGATTGACACAATAACTGCAGCAATGGGCTCAAGTATGTAAGAGATCATGAGAATGTCATAGGATAGGATTAAAATATGTTGTTCACAAGATTGCTTATTTGAATTATCACCATCTAGTAACAACATATATAAACATAAGCGTACATGTACAGATGTGTATATATGTTGTTGCTATGTGCCATCAAGTCACTTGCAACACATAGCAACCCTGTGTATAAGAGCTCTAAACGTCGTTTTCTTCTGTGCCAACCTAGCTATCTCAAACACACTCATTCCCAAAACTCCAGTCACAGAATCAATCCATCTCATTGAAAGTCTTCCTCTCCTGTACTGCCCATCCACTCTGCCAAACACGATACCCAAAGTATGTCAGACGAAGCTTCAGAATCTGTGACTCCAAGGAGCATTCCAGCTTCACCTTCTCCAGGACAAACCTGTTTGTTCTCCTAGCAGTCCATGATACGGGAATCCCAGACCATTTGATTGTACTAATGCAAAACCTATACTTGGACCAAGAGGCAGTCGTCAGAACAGAGCAAGGAGACACTACATGGCTCAAAATCAAGATGAGGGTCCGCCAGGGATGTATTCTGTCTCCATACCTTTTCAATCTGTACGCAGAATAGATCATCTGAGACGCTGGGCTGTACGAGGAGGAATGTGGCATCAGGATTGGTGGAAGAGTCATCAACAATCTGTGCTATGCAGATGACACAACCCTGCTTGCTGAAACTGAGGAGGACCTGAAGTGCTTGCTGCAGAGGGTCAAGGACTGCAGCCTCCAATATGGATTGAGGCTCAATGCCAAGAAGACAAAGATTCTCACCACAGGGCCAATTGGCAGCATCAGGATGGATGGTGAAGAGATTGAGACTGTACACAGCTTTAGTTTGCTTGGCTCCACAGTCAACACTCTTGGCACCAGTAGACAGGAAATTAAAAGACATATTGCCATGGGAAAGTCTGCTGTTAGGGACCTCTCCAAAGTACTGAAGAGCAACACTGTCACTCTGGAGATTAAGGTGTGCCTGATACAGGCCACGGTCTTTGCTATCACTGGTTATACATCAGAGAGTTGGACAATGACTAGGGAGGATAGAAGGAGAATTGATGCCTTTGAGCTGTAGTGCTGGAGAAGAGTATTGAGGGTATCATGGACTGCTAGGAAAACAAACAGATTCATCCTGGAGAGGGTTAAACCGGGCAGTTCCTTGGAGGCAAGGATTCTGAGGCTCCATCTAACATACTTTGGACATGTTGTGAGGAGGAACTGGTCCTTGGAGAGGGACATCATGCTTGGGAGGGTGGAGGGACAGCACACGAGGGGAAGGCCCTCTATGAGGTGGATTGATTCAGTGACTGGGGTAATCGGGATGGGAATGTCAGAGACAGTGAAACTGGCATAGGACAGCCGAGTTTAGGGCTGTTGTACATAGGGTCGCTATGAGGTGCAAGCGACTCAATGGCACATAACAACAACAACAATATATACTTTTATATAATATAAATATAAATATTTCATATAAATATTTCCTAAAAATACACATAAAATATTTAAAATGTCTGTATAAAGTTTTTTAATCAATCATCTTTCATGCCAAATACACAGAGGTAACTACAGTTGACAATATTTAAAATATTTTTCCAAATGCAAAAGCTACATACTTAACATGTTCTCAATTTTGGCAATGAAATACACACAAGTGATTTGCTTGTAAAGACATTCAAACCCAAAAAAAAAAAAAGATTTCACAAAGCTGCTTATACAGATGATCTGGGAAATCACACGCAAAAAACTGAGTTCAGGGCTGGAGCAAGAGGCGTGCATCTCATCCTACCGTGCACACTGCTTGAGTCAGGTGTTTGCATCCTTGGCGATGAATATGATGCACTGCATCCGGCCTTCAAAATAAATATCAAATTATCAAGCCAAAAAGAAAAAGAGATAAGTGAAAAAGTTCTCTGAAAAGTTAGACACTGAAATTTTGTTAGCAGAAGGATCATGATACTTACTGTTTCCTGTACCACGAAAGGACTCCGTGTTCTAACACCACCCAGAATAATCTCCAGCCAAAAAATCTGGAGCTCTAATGGACAAACAAGAGAGCATTTCCCAAGCTGACATGTCTGGGCTCCAATACTTTACCGACAAAAAGTAATCTAGTGATGAGAGCCATATCTGAGTCTCTGATCTAGATAGTAGAGCTAAATATTTTTAAAATGGTCAAACATAAGCTTAGATAGCAGAGGCAGTAATGAAAACATACTGCTGCAGAATCATCAGAAAAGAAGAAAAGTCATGCTGATAAGCTTCATTAATATAGTTTATACTATGTTTTATATTTACATATTTTTATAATAATACGGTTAAGGAATATTTGTAAGAAATACACTTTTCTTTGATGTTGTGAAGGAAAAGTCTAAGAAGGTTAATCCTACGTTTATTTTGTACAAAATGAACATGTATAAACATAAAAATGCAGAAGGAGTGCTAGTTCAAAAAAATCTATTGTCATAGAGTCAAAGGTATCTCATAGTTATTCTGCAAACCAGTGACCAACCACTCCCAAAGGTTTTCAAAGCTATAAATCTTTACTGAGCAAACTGGCTCATCTCTCACTGAGTAGCTGGTGGATTCAAACCAATGACTTTTTGGTTGTCAATTAAATGCTTAATCTACAATACCAACAGTTGTTGTTGTTATGTGTTGTCAAGCTGGAGCCTGTCATAACTTATCCTCCAGCAGGTTTTCAGAGGCTGTAAATCACATGAGAGAAGACTGCCCATCTTTCTCCTGCAGAGTAGCTGGTGGCTTCAAACCATGTGCCTGTGAGTTGGCTGTCATAAGCCACCAGAGCTCCTTCAGCACCACTAGGGAAGCTAGCAAATGCAAAAATAACTGGACTAGAAAGTCTAGAAAATACCTGTACTACAAAATTCATAGAAATATTTGAGAACCAGAAGGATTTTATGTCTGTGCTTTCAGAAGCACTGTGACAATTAAATTTTAATTTCTACCTAACTGGCAACTCCACATTTTATAAATCAAAATTGGCTACAGGGTTTTCTTGGTGATTATCTTTGTTGTTGTTGCTGTTATGTGTCGTCGAGTCGTCTTTACAAAAGCTATTCTCCAGGCTTTGTACTGTGAAGGCACCAGATGAGTTTTAACCATCAACTTTGACATTAGCAACCAACCACAAACTGCACCCCCCTCCAAGGTCAATGTTTACAACAAAAGGCACACTGTCATTTTTTCTGACTGAGTGGAAAATGTATTTTGCTCCTACTCTGGGTTATACAAACTTGGTAACCTAAAAGTACTAGACTAAGAATAAAAAGGAAGTAATCGCTACAGCTAAAAATGGCCTAGGGGAGCTCTCTGGTGGCCTAGTAGTTAGAAGCTGTGCTGCAATCCCAAAAGCACCTAGTTCAAATCCAGCAGCTACTCCACAGGAAAAGGATGGGCAACCTCCTCCCGAGTGATTTGTTGTTGTTGTTGTTGTTGTTATTGTTATGTGCCATCGGGCCACCTGCAACTCTATGTACAACAGCTCTGAAGCCTGCCCTGTCCTGAGCCAGTCTCACGACTCTGACACGCCTACCCTCATTACCCCAGTTACTCTATCAATCCATTTCATTCATGGTCTTCTTTTCCTGTGCTGTCCCTCCATTCTTCTAAGCATGATGTCCTGCTCCAAGGACTGGTCCCTCTTGGACACCTGCCCAAAGTATGTGAGACAGAGCTTCGAAATCCTAGCCTCCTAGGAAAAATTTGGTTTCACCCTCTCCAAGACATTTATTTGTTTTCTGGGTGGTTCATGTCTTCTCCAGTATCACAATTTGAAGGCACAGATGATTCTTCTGTTATTTTATTCCTTATCCAGATCTCTGATGCATAGTAAGTAATTCCGAAGACCATGGACTAGATCAGGTACACTTTAATCTACTGACATTTAATATATTGACTTTCTTGCTTTTTAGTACTCTGGAGAGGTCTATGACAGCAGATTTTTTCCAAATTAGTCCTTTGATTTCCTGATTGCTGATACCAAGAGTGTTGATTGTGGAGCCGAGAAAGCTGTAACTGTGAACCACCTCAATCTCTTTTCCATCTATCATGGTGCTGTCAGTTGACACAGCGGTGAAAATCTTCGTCTTCTTGATGTTGAGCTTCAATCAAGATTGAAGACTACAGTTTTTGACGTTCTGCAACAAGTGCTTCAGGTCCTCCTCAGTTTCAGCAAGCAAGGTTGTATCATCTGCATAATGCAGACTGTTGATGAGTTTTCCTCCAATCCTGATGCCACATGTTGATGAGTCTTCCTCCAATCCTGATTCCTCCTCATAAAGCCCAGACTCCTGAATGATCTGTTTTGCATGTAGATCGAAAAGATATGGAGGCAGGACACATCCCTGATGCATACCTTCCTGATTTTGAACCATGCAGGTGTTTTCTTGCTCTGTTCTGAGGCCTGCTTCCTGGTCTAAGCCCCTGAAAACCTGCTAGAGGGTCAGCTATGGGTTGGTTCTGACTCTACAGACCACAACAATAACAGTAACGGCCTAGTAAGTCTAGCAACGTAAAAATGGATTAGGTTATAAGATCTAAGAAAGATTAAATACTTCAGAAATTATTGTTGTTGTGTCTGAACTGACCCACAGCTGAACCTCCACAGGGTTTTCAGAGGCAGTAAATTCCCCGGGAAGAGACTGCTCATCCTTCTCCAATGAGCAGCTGGTGGAGTTAAGCTGTGTGCCTTTGGGATTGCAACACAGCTTCTTACCAGTAGGCCACCAGAGCTCCTTCAGAACGTTTTTTTTTAAAAAAGGAGGAATATTTCCTGAAATAAAAACTGAACATATCAAAATTTTTGTTTCCAGTTTTAAAATTAAAAACAAAACAAACTTACCTTCCAGAGAGGGCCTTCGTAGCGTTTCAGTGCTTTGTAGGTGACCTAGTAGAAACATTTTTTTCATTAACAATGGATCTATATAATTTTAATGTCCAATAATTGTTTTCAAAATCTATTAAACAAATTTACTAATACATACCTTATTACCTACAAATATGTGTTTCATTTCAGCTCCCTGGGCTAAATCAACAGGCTTCTGATCTGTATTTAAAAAAAAAAAAGAAAAGAGTCATCAAGAGTTTGATTGCTGTACACAATAAGCACTCTTTTCATCAATTACATCTATGTATTCTTCCCTAAAAATTAACTACTTGACACTGACATTCTTGTTTTTGTTTTTAAATAAATTTTATCCCAGTTTGCTTACAAAGTTCGTATGTTTTTCATACTATCTTCATTCACATATTGTTTCATAAAATCCTTCCCTTTCATTGTATTTTAGAAAATTAATCAAGACTGTTTTTTAAGTAAGAACACTCAGTCAAAGCTCTCAGGTTCTGGTGGCTCAAGTTTCTGGACTTAAGTCATTTTCAGTGGCTGCTGTAACAAATTATGACAAACTTAGAGGCTTTAAACGATATCAATTTACCAGCTTGCAGTTCAGATCAAAATCCTGAAATGGGTTTTAGTGGATATAAATCAAGGTGTGGGGCAGCCTGTTACAGTCCTGGAGAGCTGACGGAGAATCTGTTCCCTTGCCTTTTTTTTGCTTTGAGAAGCTGTTTGCCTTCCTTGACTCTTGGCTCCTTCTCCCACCTTCAAAGCACAGCATTTTAACATCTGCTTCTATCTTTCTATCTTCTCTAGATATTTTGATTAAGAACCATTATTCAGTACACCAAGGAGTCCTGGTGGCACAATGGTTAAGTGGTCAGCTGCTAACCAAAAGGTCAGTAGATCGAACTTGCCAGCTACTCCTCCAAGGTGAAGAAGCCTGATGATCCCATCTCATGTAGCTACTGCCGTGTGCCATCAAGTCAGTTGTGGCTCAGTTTCTGTACCAGTTGTGGTACTGTTTCTATTAGGCACCTCTATGTTGGTTATGACTCATAGCAGTAGAGTCATCAGACAGACCCTTGACCTCTTGTACCATCCTCACAGTCACTGCTGTCATTTGCTATGGTCACTGTCAATTCATCTCGTTGAAGAACTTCTCTTTTTCCTTATCCCTGAACTTGCCAAGCATGATGTCCCTCATTAGGGACTCCTTTCCTGAAGGCATGCCAGGTAAATGAGACAAAGTCACACCAACCTGACTTTTAAGGAGTACTCTGGCTTAACTTCATCCAAGACATATGTCTTTGGCAGTGTACAGTAAATTCACTATCCTGGCCACCACCACTCTTTAAAAGTTATGAACTCTTTATTCACTCTTCCTTGATTAATTGTCCAACTTTCACAGACATACTAAACAACTGAAAATATGCTTGATTTGGGTGTATCTGAGTTCATAAAGCCACGTCTTTGCTTTTTTTAGCACTTCAACAGGGGCTTTTGTAACTGATATGCCAAAGGCAATATGTCATTTCTTGCACTGATTGTGGACCTATGAAAAATGAAATCTCTGACTAGTCTTTATTCCATTAATCATGATGCTGTTTATTGGTCCAGTTGTGAGAACTCCCATTTTCTTTAGGTTGATGTATAACCTATACTGAAGGTTGTAGAGTCTTTTAGCTTCATCAATAAGTGCTTCACGTCTCTCTTATTTTCTATAAGCAAGGTTTTGTATCATCTGACATCACAAGTTATTTATGAGTCCTCCTTCAATCTTGAGGCCACATTCTTCTTCACAGAATGCAACTTCTTAGGTCTAAGAGCGACCTACATGGATGAGGCTATAATCTTTGAAGGAGAAGATTGACAGGTCTTTTTCTGCAGAGTAATTGGTAGGTTCAGACTATCAACCAGTCCATTTGTAATCAAGTACTTAACCTGTGACTATTATATGACCAGGGCTCTTTCTGTATAAATAACAGCCTAGGGAGCTGTATGTACAAGCACTATTCTGTCACACAGAATCACAGTGAGTCAGAATCTACTTGAGAGTACAGACAAAAACAACTGAGAGACCATACCACTCCTCAGCTACTTTACTGGGAAATAGGGTGCTACAGAGCTCAGAAGCTAAGGTTGTGATCGTCCACAACAGAATACAAAAGGAAAATATGAAAGTGGAGCATGAGGTTACTATGGCAACTTTCCTTAACCTTATAAATGCAAGCACTCTAAGTTAAGCCAAATAACAACAAATAAAAGTCAGAATTGATTTTCTCAAAGTTATTTACTAAGGTGAACCAACACTCTATGAAGGATACAAATTAAACACATTTTATCCAAATTGGTAATAACTGCTTTAGAAATAAAAGTTGCACATTAAAAAAACCCTTCAAAATAACTAATCAGACTGAAACACATACATGTAATATTGTTGTTGTTGCTGTTACGTGCTGTCAAGTCACTTGCGACTCATAGTTACCCCATGTACAGCAATTCTGAAGCCTGCCATGTCCTTAGCCACTCTGACTCTGACACCCCACTGCCCAAGCTACTGTATCACTCCATCTCATCCAGGATCTAATTCTCCTGTGCTGTCCCTCCATCCTTCCAAAAACAATGTCTTTTCCCAAGGACTGGTCCCTACTGGCCATTTGCCTAAAGTATGTGAGATGGAGCTTCAAAACCCTTGTCTCCAGGGAGAAACTTGGTTTCACGCCCTCCAAGAAAGACCTGTTTGTTATCCTGACAGTCCATGGTATGTTCCAAACTGTGCAACCCTGTGGTTTTGCCCCTACTCATCCTCACCCCTCCGCTCTGAGCCCCTCTTTCCTCGGTGGGTCCTGATACATGTTTTCTAGTTTTCCTTCTATTTTACAATAATGGTCTTATGTAGTATTTGTCCTTGTCCTGTGTTAGTTCACTCAGCATAATGCCCTTCTGTCTCCCCCAAGTTATGGAGCAATTTTTTGAAATTGTTCCTCTGTGCTGTATAGTAGTCCATTGTGTGAATGCATCACAATTTCTCAATCCATTCAGTTGTGTTTGGACATTTGGGCTGTTTCCTTGATTTTGTGATGGTGAATAATGCTCCTATGAACACTGCTGTACAGATCTCCATATGTGCCAAACAACTTTTTGCATAAGAATCTCCTAATGAACTAAAAAGGGCTCTAGTGGCCTAGTGGTAAGAAAGTACACTGCCTGTCACAGACGAGAGTCACAGATAGGCAAGGGAGTAGAGAGGAAGCTCCCACTCACTTGCTTTAAGTGTCAATCTGAAGGACACATGGTCAAGGACAGCCCACATCAGGTCCTTGTGGCTGACAGGACTGACAGGCCCCAGCTCCCAGCTGGAAACAAAGGAGGATGCTTCAACGATTTAGATCCTCCCAGAATAGCTGTGGGTGAGCATTAACATTACTGGTAAGTATATTCATTTTCTCCTGGACACAAGAGCCTACTATTTGGTCCTAAAAGCCCTCTGAGGTCCCAACTCTTCTCACTATTTCTTAGTTGTTGGAACTGACGGAAAACCTCATGAACAGTTCCTTGCTTCACCTCTGCCTTGCATGCGGACTTCTGAGTTGTAAAACAACCCAGTTGTAGATGGAATTTGGTCCAGGACCTAAGAACAATAAATGACATAGTTGAGCCTCTACATCTTGTGGTTCCTAACCTTTATACTATAATAGACAAAGTGCTAGTCAATAGGCCTTTTATTGTAAGAACTACCTTCCCTCTGTAATTTGATTTGTGCCACTATTAGAGCCTCTACTTGGAATATTAATGTTTTTTAATTTTTTACTTATGTACTTTTAACTTGTTAGTTAAATTTGTGTCTTCTAGGCTGCAACGGTTCCATGATACATCTTCAAGGATATGAACATGTACGGCTAAGCACAATTGATAACAGTGAATCTAAACTCCAAAATCAATCTCCATAATAGTCTATGTGTTTCCTATTGCCAAAGGGCCCCTTTAGAGTAGTGAGAGATTTTCACCCTGAAACCCACAGCGTCCCTTTTCAGCAGGAAGTAGCTAAGAGAATACGCCATCCCCTTTCCTTTATGAATCAGGGTGAAGTCTCTCTCAGGGAGGAGTGATAGGGAATGACAAAGGATACACTAACAAAGGAGATTTAATCAGAACTGGCTTTGACAAGCACTGTGGCAAATGGACAATTAAAATGGACTTTCAAGGGGGGGGAGAAGAAGAACAAACTGGGGAGGAGGGTAGAGAAAATAGTGCAACAATGAATGAATGGAAACCCAAAATCTCTGTAAATGTTCATTAAAATTAATAAAATTTAATAATAAAGAAGAGACATAAATAGATTAAAAATAATAAAAAATTAACTAAATAAAAAGAAAGTACACTGCCAACCCAAAGGCATGCTGTTCGAATCCACCACCTGCTGCATGGGAAAAAAGATGTGAAATCTCCCCTCATGAAATTTACAGTCTCTGAAATCCAGTGAAGGGTGAGTTATAATTCTGTTCCAACTCGACAACACACAGCAAGTTACAATGAATTGAAAAACTCAAACGTGCTGACCTCATGTAGGTTCTGACTGATGGGAACCTTCCATCAGACTCCAAGGGCTATAAATCTTTATGGGAGGAAATTGCCCATCTTTCTCTTGAGTAACAGTTGGTGATATAAACTATGACCCTATTGGTTCCTGGTGCAACTTGTAATATACTAAATGTACATTACTAATTACTAAATTAGTGCTAAATGTACTAAAAGTATTCATGTACCAGAGCTCCTTTATCTGCTAATGGTAGGCTAGTATCTGTGTCAATTCCTCTTGGGACACTTTGTACTGAGAGGGAAAAAAAACCCTGAGAGGTAAAAAAAAAAACCCAAAAAAACAAGGAGGAACAGACATAAAATTATTTTAAAAAAGGATTTATCAAATAATGAATACTATGAAGAAGTTTTTAAATGAATTATTTGATAGAGACTGGCTAAGTATAGTGTCAGGGTTTAATTACTTAAAAAGCTTTCCTAGCCATGTCTTTCACCACATGACTGGGAGAGGGGGAACATGAAAAAGGGTATATTTAATAAACTAGGGAGCTCTGGTGGCTTAGTGGTGAGGAGTTGCATTGCCCGTCCAAAGGAGTATGGCTTGAATCCACCAGCTCTTCCATGGAAGAAAGATGGACAATCTCTTCCCATGCAATTTACAGCCTCTG